CTCCAGCCGTATCAGGAGATGCAACAAATCCTGCCAAATCCTCCCAGACTAGGTTTGCTTTAGCTGTTCAGCTGTCTGAAGATCAAGGAAGGCCATGGCATAAGGAGCTTCAGTGCAGACACTACCAGGCTGCTTTCAGTCACTCAGGTCCTTGCCGCACTGCATCTGCTACTGGTACCCTAATCTTAAAACTAGCAGCCAGAAACCTGCACAAACAGAGATGCCTTTGCAAAAATCCCTCACTTTGCTAACCCATTAACCCTACAGATAACTTTCAGGGAACAGGAGAGCAATATGGAAGCAATAGTGTTGGGACCTGATTTCTCCCCTAACCTGAGCCTGAAAGATCAGTACTTAGCATCCCAGTGTTTTCCGTGCCCTCCCTCCAGACAAGCTCCAAGGTGCTTGCTTAATGCAAGTTTCATGGACCCGTGTGGTTATTCTAGACCAAATGCTGAAAGCTACACGGCTCCACACACACACACGAAGAGGCCCAGTGCTCTCCCAAGGGCTGTGTCCTACATACTGCTAAAATCAGCTGGGATATGACCTCTGTCTCACTGCAACGCCAAGTTCTCTCCCTGACCTGTGGGAGGATTTGGCTTTGGCTCTGGCTCACATAGGAAGTGGGGGAAGGTTCCGATAAGCAAAACTGTTGCCCTCACTGCAGGGCGGGTGAGCCGGCAGCCCGGCAGAAAGCGGAACGGCAGCTCAGCTCTGCAATCTCAGCCACGTCAATTTGTCTTGGCTGAAGGCAGTAATAAATCTAGGCAAGAGCGCTGGGGGAGTATGGGGAGTAAGCGCACACACGTGTGCAACAGCACAGCAAGCGGGGCAAAAATGTACCTCCAGCCACCGTGAAGCATCAACGGAAGCATTTTTGCTGGGTTACAGAATTATGCAGGTGAGCTCTTCATTCCCACCTTCCCATTTTTATTCAGGAAAACACAAGTCATGCATTTACAGAACACAAAGAATTTGATTAATCAGCATAAAATTTAATTTAAAAGACACATGCAGCAGACCGCAGCATTTTAAAATCTCAGCAAATCTAGCTTATTGATGTTGGTCAGCTTCTCTCCCTCCAGATCTTTTTTAAGCTAGCATTATATACATCGCACAAATTCCTGGCAGCAATCATAAAACAGGAAACAGAAGTTCCAAGCGTCAGAATTGCACATATATAACTAGACAGGACATTTCCTCAGAAAGGGTAACGCGAAATGGCAACAAAGCAAAAAAGAACAACAGCCCCCTTTGTGTTCCCTGCACATGACATCACGATTCACTGAATTCCTCGCACATTATTCCTTTTGTGTTGCACTTATCAAGAATTTTCTCCATTCAAAAAAGCTTCTGGATGACTAAAAGGTTAAAATTAAAAAAAAAAAAAACACTCTTTAAAGTCACCACTGATGTAAATGAAACTGCAAAACGTGATTCATACACGATAGCCACAACAGTAAAAAAGAAAAGAAGTGTACACTGCCAGCTTGGAGGATGAAAAGGTGGAATTCGTGGTTAGACACATTTTAATAACCACATTCAGCATTTCCAGTCAGCTCAAAAAAATCAGCAGCAAAAAGCATGAAGCATCTTCCATTAAAAGAGGGAGATGAACTGACTCAACAGTGCTGAAAACCACAATGATGTAGCACTGGCCAGTTATTGCAGAAATACTAGGATGCTCTGTGATTTCTTATAAAAAAGTAATAAAAAAGCTTTCTCAGAACAAAAAGCACCAAAAATAACCCGATCGCTTGCAAATTGCCACCCCGCTTCTGAAAATAGCCGGTGCTCTGTGTAAATTTTTTTTTCCTCCCCCCGCGCCGCCGCCAGGGCCCGCCCAGCCAATGCGCGCCGAGGCGAGGTGGCCTTTGAACTCCCCAGCAGCAGCTTCCTGCCGCCGCGAGCGCACGCAGCGCAGTGCAGCATGTCTGTCAGCGCTGCGGCACAAAGGAACAGCCATTTTGTGACTGCACTGGACCCGCACCAAAATGCCAGGCGCGGCGGCGCCTTTCCCCCCCGTCCCCGGTTGGTTTAGGGGGGCATAGCTGCTTTGTAAGCGCTGCCCGTGGCGGTGGGAGATGCCCCCTGCTTTCAGGGGCAGCTGGGGAGGGCAGGTTTTGTCCCCACGCCGCTGTTTCGCCCCCTGCACACGCGCGCACTGTCCTCTTTCGCGTGTAACCACGTCTCCATAAAATGGCTGCCACATAAAACGAGCGTGCTCAGCTCTGCCACGGCTGCAGCACTCACTGCGGCGGCTGCCCTGGTAAAAAACACCCCTGCAGACCTCAAACCTGCAGCTCCCTGAACAGAAAGCTGCCTGAAATCACTTCCACCAGCACCATTTTCCCCGAAAGCTGCTTTAGGGGCAGACAGCTGGGCACCAGCAACATGGCTGTTTGCTCAGCTCTGCACCAGAGCTGGAGGAGCAGGAGAGCAACTGCAACAAACAACCCAGCCGATCCCCACAGAAGGTA